CCATTGTCCCCTGTCCGGGACGGGGAGACTAAGCATGGATTTTGGAGCTATCCACTAATAATTATTATTGAACTGTTGCCTAACCTAGCAGTGGTCAAAAGTGACAATGGAATCACCAACTTGTACTGTTGAGAAGTTTGATCTGCTGTCATAATCTGTGAATTAATCATTGCTTACAATCATTAAATTAGAAAAAGATCATTCTTTCCTGTCATCGACGAATCGGCAAACTGCAAATGATGGCATTTCTCTTTACGGTATTAAGGCCAGTCTGTCTGGTAGAAGGACACTCTTACCAAAGATCAAAAAGGAATTATTGATAGACATATCAATATGACATTATTGATTGCTCGTACAAGATGAAATATTGGATCATTCATCGAATTGGATGCAGTTTTAACATGGCAATGATAACTGATGTCACTTGCTCAGACGAATGGCAGAAATGATGCTGCACAACGATACCATGAAATTGACAGAAGTCAACATTACTCTCACTACAAGGGTCACGTGGGGCCGCGAGAGGCAGAAATGGTACTGGGTACAACGAAATCCAGAAATCGACAGAACTGAACATCATTGATGAACCGAGTTCTACAGAACGGGGAAATCAATCAGAATTTTTGATCCCTTCGTCAACCATCTGGACAAATGATAACATTAAATTCTGAAATACATCAAAAACATATAAGACTAAAATAATTTCCAATTAGCCCAATAGTACAGAATTTATTGAACATGAGGCATTTGGAAAATTGAGGCGATATTTTTTTCAGCGTGATAATAATCAAAACGAACATTCATAATGATAAAGGAAACTGATATGGCAGCCGGTCGAGCGGGTCTGCTGCAGTAAGGGTCTATCCTGTCAGTTGCTTGAGGATCAAACTGTATTTTGGGAGGAGAAGCGCCGCTGCCAAATTGTGCAAATTTATTTGGCATTATGAATAGAACTAGGTGTCATTACACAAAGCAATTACGACTCTCAAAAGTCAACGCAAAAAGTCTCCTCCAGCGATACCCGACTTTTTTATACCTGTTTTCTGAGCGCTAGAGCAAACTTACGATCACAAGCGGCCCGTTTTCCACCTGAAGCTATGATTTCCGGTCTGTGGCACCATAGCTTTTTAGCAAGACCTGCACAGTGTGCCATACCGTTGCAGGGTGTTTAATAGATATGGTATTTTCACATTTATTACTGATAATAATTTTGCACACTTGGGATAGCTTCGGTCCATAGTTCATCAAAAGAAACGCAGTGTGGCGCGGAATATGCCCAGGAAAAACGCTGAAATTCTTAGAAAACAGAAAACATGGCATTGCCGCCAACTCCACGTGATTGCGAGATATTGGCATTGAGGAAAAAGAGATAAAAAAATAGCTAAGAGCATGCAGCTGAAAGAAGAGTGCCAGAAATTTCCACCCCTAACAAGCTGGGAACTGAAGTTATAAAAAGATTCACATCGGAGTGCAGGAAGTTGCATCAGTTCCTAAAGAAAGAAAGCTACAACGGACGAGGAACATCACGTGGATGTGGGTGACTGATCGTTGTGCTTCGGCAGTGACAGACTGGTACCCAACGGACTGCAAGCGCGAAATTGGAAGACCAGCTAAAAGTGAAGTATGGAAATTTGTGGCCATAAATCACACGAAACAGACCAATTGGGCATCGACATTTAGGCAGTTGACATACCTGTTAATTTATGAAAATAGATCCGTGAGGAATAACTAGAATCTTCTTATAATGGATAGCATCATCGTCTGAAATTCGTAGTTGATCCAGTTGCAATATTTGGAGAGGAATCCTTCAAATCAGAAGGCAATATTATTCAATGGCTGATCGCGCATAATCGAGGCGAATACATTTCTTTATGACGACGTTTCGAAAATGCCACAGTATTTAACACTTTTGAAAATGACACTGTTGCGTATTCGAAATGCCTGCCTAAATAAATTTATTCGCCTCCACTTTGTGCCTCTAGCCACTGAATCGGATGGCAATCTGTTTTGAAGGATGCTTACACGGTAACATCTCATTTTTTACTGTATATTTCCTCTCCCTCAAAGTGTTTTAGTGCAGTCGATCCAACCGAGGTCGCAAGTTGCTCATTTGTGGAAAGTCATGATTACTTTATTTTGAAAATTGTGATTGTGTTGTTCAAGCTTTGTCTTGCCAGAGCTCAAGTGATGACATTCAATGCACATGCTTTGAGCCATCTGAAACCGGCCAATCTGATTCAACATATTTACAGTGGTCAGTTAATCCCTCTTCGAACTCACGTTTGAGATTGAGGATAAAACACGCAAAGAAATCCGGCTCCTAAAGCACCATCGGCGATGTTGAACTTTCATCAGACTTTTTTTCATCAGCCGCCCTACCACAGAAACAAGTCGATGCTCCGCCACGTTTCTCAGTGTGGTTTTGCGTCCCCCCGTTGATCAAACAGCTTCGTCATTGTGTGGTCCCATGGTGTTGGTGTACGATGGAGTGGACACCTGCTTGGAAAGGGGGATTCTGTTTGAGATGTCCACCTCGAGATGTCCACCTGCAGACCAGTCACCTGACCAGCCCATCGTCTCTTTGAATCGTCGGCGGCAATGACTGCACCCAAAAATCTTGTCTGACGCCCAACTATGGCACTTGGAACACGGTCTCGAAAAAAGATCTTGTATATTCTTTTTTTCCATCGACTCTGGGATTAATACAAGTCTTTTTCCGTTAGCCCTTGTGGCAGGCCAGCTGTCCGCCCAATAAATCACGGAGGGCGGGGCGGTGGAGTCGAAGAGTTCTTTCTCTTGGGCATGGACAGTTCGTTTACCAGCAGCGATATTTTGAGTGACTCAAAATTACCTATGCCGTCTTGGTTCCTCTGCTGATTTTGCTGCTAATGCAGTTATCTGTGTCTATTTGGTGGCCGAGGTATAAGTAGCTAGCGACTTCGCCATAATTGAGGATGTTGTCAACGGGGCCATGGTCCTTCTGCGTTCATTTCGTCTTGGAAATGTTCTTGAAAATCTTCGGACCGATTGTGTATAACTCCTCTGCAACCTCGCAAGCCCTATTCAGATTCAGAAGGGATCTTTGGCGACGATGATGACGTCATCTGCAAATAGCAGCTGGGTAAGCTGTTGTCCATCGATGTTAATGCCACCGCCCCACTTCAGACGGTCAAAAGGGATGCCAGCGCTGTCGCGAAAAGTTTAGGAGAGGTGGTGTCTCCTGGACGTACTCCTATTTTGATCCAAAACAGTCCCTCGAACAGCTTGATGTCGACTGCGACGTCGGCATTCAGGCACTCGATCAGGGCGACGTCGACAGGGTTGATACCACAGTCGTGCAAGGCTTTCAGCACGGCACTCGGCTTCAAGGAAATCTATGAATGCACAGCAGAAAAGGAACCCGTACTCCTTGCACTTCCCTGTTAACTGCTTCATGAAATATACTTGGTTTATGGCTGAAAATCTTGTTCTTCACTAGTTAGTTATTATACGTCCTTTCAGATACGGGTGAACAGGATTCTGGCTAAGACCTTGCAAACGTGTAGCAGAACTGTGATTTGTCAGTAGTTCTGCAGATCTTCAGCCTCTCCTTTCTTGAGTAAAACAATCGTCGAAGAGTTCTTTTCTAGCCTGATATCCTTTGTTAATCGTTCGGCAAAGGCTCTGGACCGAGTGATTCCTTCTGACATGACGTGTTGCGATTATGAACCAGTGATAGATTACGCCTAAACAACGAAACGTCTGCACATGCATTTATGCATGGCATGTCCTAAAATGTTACGGTCTGCCAAGTCCGCTCCCTAAGATTCATAGAGTAAGAGAACAGCGCCTCAATATTGCGCAAAGTGGTTTTATGAATTAACGTATATTAATTAAGATTGACAAAAAAATCCATTGTGAAAATAAATCAGTCATCGAACCGCATCCCTGTAATCGTCTTCTAATGCCATGCTATACTAGCAATGTGTGGTTGTATTTGAGCAACGGCGGTATGTTTTATACCTTGTGATAACCATCACACCGAATAGTCAGCTGTCAAGTGGGTTGAGGCATATATCAACCCTTAAGAGAGCTCGCATCATACAACCTATCTGTACCTCCTGCCCGTTCTAATACGGTCACCACCTGTCCCTGTTGAACGCAGTAAGCGACTTGATGCACGTTTTACGGCTAGTTGCACGAGGCAATGGTAATGGCAAATTACTTGCTCACTGGAATTAGTGATTAAGGGAAATTTTGTATTTTATGGAATTCGAGCCCGATACCTCCGGAATTCGCTTCTGCTATCCGAAATAAGTGACTGGAAGAAACCTGTTAGACAAATTGATTGACTGGCAGAGAGTACATCCCTACTGCACCATATGACTGTCACTCTGGAGCCAAAGCCCTGAGACTTCGATCATAAGGCCAGCATTGAAAATGAATGGGCAAAATAAAGGCAGAGTTATGTCGCAATGAGGACGAATTTTTCTCTTTTACACAGTTACCTCCTCTGGCAACCGCCCCTTATAACACTAGCACTGAAAAACTGAGAATACAGATGCATTACAGATCGGAGATGTTGTGCTGGCACAATCGCTTCATGAATACGATTGCGGAAAACAGCAACATAAACTAAAGCTGGAGCGACCGCAACTGAAGCGTCTTAACCCTTAACTTGAAAGCGATCATGCAGGAAAACCACCTCAC